ACAGTGATACATGGGAGTTGAGGGGTAGAATTACGATTTTGACTGTATTGATTGACAGTGAGACATGGGAGTTGATGGATGAAAAAGGGGTTGAAATGGACAAATTTTGAAAACGAATGTACTGTTGGAAAAGGTTGAGAATGATGTTGTCGTCAACATCGAAGAGACGAACGGTTCAGCGGGTGTTTTTCCCGACCAATTCACACTCGGAACTTTAAAAAAGGAGAACGTGCATACTGCTTAGTGATCATATAGTACAGATTCGAACCGGCCGGCGAAAAAGACCGGTCCTGGAAAAAAAGGGATTGTAGGGTTGAACATGTTCGCCGAATCAGATTCAACCATGCACTCAATGCTGATAAAGTTGGGACACATGAGATAAGATAACATCTTGTCTACCCTAGCTACCTAATAACTACGGCTACAACAGTGACCAGAAATGGCAATTGATTGGGTTGGGTCAAGTAAAGTCGAGTTCCTCTAAAACCAGACACAATTCAGTAGGTGCGCTCATTAAAAAATCTTGAAAAAATACTTGTTGGGTTTTATAAGTGAAAATCCAACTCAATTCAATGAGTAATCATGAGGAATGGGTTGACATATATAGTCATACATCTTTGACACCCACATTATAATGCTATCAAATTTTTTCCTACAAATGTATCTCCATAAAACTCCCAACATCCACAAATTATCTAAATTATTAGGTTTATCTCATCATAAACACTAATCTAATCCACAGATTATCCATATTGTTCTGATTAGATACCAAATGATCTTGTTTTGCTTTTATTTGTGCGGGTTGAATTTTGTCAAAATTCAAATCCAACCCCACCCGCCAATTATAAAAGTATATAAAACTCATATATGACCTAAAACCTCATGATAATTAGGTAATTACCGACAGTAGCAGAACTGAAAGTGGTGAAGCCATCGCCGACGCTCCTACTGCCGGTGATAATGGTGGTTTCCTTGTTGTCTCCGACGAACATAATGTTGGTCTTCCCCTTCCCCACCTCCACGTTCTCCTTATACACCCCCGCCTTTATCCTTATTATGTACCTCTTGCTGCTCTTACTCGGCGCCGCCGCCACCGCCGCCCCTACCGTCGCATAGTCCCCGCTCCCGTCCGCCGCCACCACCACGTCCGGCGTGATATCCTGCCGCCATGCAATCACATGAACAATGACTAGTAGCGAGGAAAATACATGTTAGTTGTTTCCTTAATTAACAAAGCATAGGTTACAAATTTTCTTTTTTATAAGGGTGATATCAGTTAACTTTTGTTATTAAGTGATTAAAGTAATTCGAATTCGGAACATTCACGTTGAAGAAAAAAAAAAGTATATGACCAAATTATTAATTAATTACCCCGGAGGACTGCAAGAGCCTCCTGTCCCCCGCCGACAACCACTCGGCCGGGCCGGCAGCCTTCTGGCTGCCGGTCCCGATCTTGCCAGCAGTCATGTTGGCGATCATGGCGAGCGAGTTGCTGCACATGCGCCCCACGTGGACGTGGCCCTTGACCAGGCCTTCACGGACGCGTCTGTCGGCGCGTCCGTGAGAGAAGCCATCCAGGCAAGTCTCCTGGTTGGTCATGGCCGCGCTGAGCCACGTCATGAGGTTGGCGGTATGTCGAGTCAGCAGCAGCTTCTTGTTCTGCCTATTGTCCCGATAATTGTACTGCTTCAGGTCCCGGAGCGACGCGTGGAGCTCGTCCAGCGTCTGGTCGATGGTCGCCAGGCAGTCGTGCAGCGCCACCTTCTGCCGCTTGGTCGCCGTCGGGTTGAGGGCCCTGATCATCTTCTCGACGGTGAAGAAGTTGCGCTCCACGACGCTGCAGGTGACGTTGATGGACGCCTCGATGACGTCGTTTTGGGACGTCAGAGTTTCGGCGGGGAGGGTTGCCACCGCGGAGAAGCAGAGGTCCGGGAACCTGGCGGCACCGCAAGCTGATCGGAGAACGGCGTGGTGGTCGCCAACGGCCGCGGCGGCCACGGTGCGGATTATTAGGACTGATACGGAAAAACATATTGTGGAAATGGTCAACGGTGTTGGTTTGTGTGGGTGGTGGTGATTCATCTTTTGAAGGCTCAGAATTCAGATGATGATATGGCTTAGCTTGTAGACGGGGAAGTGCAAAATAACGTGTGTATATATAGTGCGTTTGTGAGTGAAAAAAGTGACACTTGGGTAAATAATTAATTTGGGTATGTGTAGTATGCTGATTTGGTGAAACTTGAAAAGTTGAAATACAAATTTACTTGGAAGTCGGGTTCGGTCGATTGATTGAGCAATTATGTGGTGGCGGTCCACCGATATAATGACAATATGTTATGTGCTTTTCTGTTATTTATAACAATTAAATAATCGTGTTTCCATTCCAAATTGATTGGTTTTCATGGAACTGGCTTAACGAACAAAAATTCGTAGCTCTATTTTATAGTAATGCAGATGAAAGTTGACCGGAACATGATAAACTTTTGTGATTTAGCTATAGGTTGATTTACTTGGTAGTTGGTATGCATGTAATTTTTTGTGTGTTTCTATAGGGTTTCATCATTTTTATTGATCAATGACAAAAATATAGGCAAAAGATCATAAGTAGCTTTTAGGTTTATAGATATAATTTTGTTCATCTATTATGTGTTTTTGTCCAATATGTCTCATATATTATTTCTTACATTAAACATATCTCTATATTTTAGAAAAATTATCAAACATGTCATTCTTTAAAATACCCATAACAATAATGGTCGAACCGTGATTTGCGCGGCACAAGTTTTTAAAAAACCCATAATAATTTCACTTTAGTATTTTGTAGTTTCTATTATATAGCCCAGTACGTACCTCTAATAATTTACTTTGATGACACATAATGAAATAAAAGGAGTAAAAATGACATTTTCCTTTCCATTTGTCGAGGGCAGATCGTTTGAACCACTGTTTAACATTGGTTGATGATTTTTGGAATCTTAACCGAAAGCTATACGTTTGATAATTTTTTTAAAATACAAGTATACGTTTAATGTAAGAAATAGTAGAGAAACACATTTGATATAAACCAGAAAAAAATCCTAATCATTATGGTTTGGATGCATATTCTGGGATAGAGTGTGGTGTATAACTATAATTATAATTGTGCAAAGATAATATGATGATTCATTAGTTTTACAAGTTTTGGATGTTAAAATACAAGTTTTGTATGTTATATATGATGAACAGTCCTATCAACGGTTTTGTAACTGTTAACCACTGAATCCTAAACTACTAATTTTTTCGGTTTAACATTCGGTCCGGTTCTGAAAACGAAGGTTTTACTATGCTAGTGGTAGAGGGAGACACGAGGTGATACAATAGTCAGGGGCAGACCCACCTTTAAGCAAGATGTGTCAACCGACACACCTTGGTTCGAAATTTTTGTGAAGAACCCACATTAGTGTTGACTTTACCTCTTGCAACTGCAAGCTACAAAGTGACATTTTCCATATATGAGTTTAATTGAGAACAATCTTTGATATAACGTGAGTGACCAGTTTATGAATAATTGTTTAATCATGTACATAAAAAAGATTTGATTGCAACCTAATGGACAAATATAATTACGAAATTTGTTAGAATATGAAAACTCGTCGGGGTTCACTGTAAAAAATAATAAAATTGGTGAACTTTATGAATACAAGTTTTATGTTTATTTTAAATTAATTATTTTAAATTGTTTTAATTAACTAAATATTTTAAAATTTAAATTATTTTTATTAGCCGACACACCTATCCTAAAATCCTGGGTCCGCCACTGAAAATAAGGATACATTGTTGTTAATCACTAGTTTTGACAGTTCACTTTTTTTCTTGAAATATACCAACATGAGTATATTATTAAATATATCATAATTAATGCATTATTTTTATATAAAAATTCTAAAATAAGAATGAAAGAAATATGACAAAACTAATAATGAAGAGGTCATTAAAAAAAGTAGGATTTTAATTGGTCCTAAATGAGTGGAGTTTAAGACCATCCACAAATAGTAGCGCTAAAAGTTTCTTATGGGATCGTTTGGATAGGTTATTTGCTTGAGTTATTTGATTCAAAATAACTTGTTTGGGTATGCAAAAGTGTAATTGGTATTTGACCTTGAGTTATTTACGAATAACTCAAAAACGAGTTATTGTAAATAACACCTATCCAGCAGTTATTTGACAATAACGCGTTCTGCGTCATTTCCCTTCCAACTCTGCCCTTTCTCTTTCTTTCTTTTCAGTTCTTCCCCTCTCTCTCAAATGACTTCCATCTTCTCTCTTCTTCTCCTCTCTTATCTGTTATTTAATCTCTTGCAGTCGATTAACCTCCCCTTCTCCAATGGATAATATAACTATCTTCTCCACTTTTTTGTCGATTCAACGACACCCATAATCCCCTCTCTTGTTGACGATTCAAAAGAACTTCAAACCCTCACTGTTGACTACTGTATGTACGACAGAGAGCGAGGATGAGGTAGACGGCGGCTGCAAGTAAGACGGACAGTGGCGACAAGGTTGGCGATGGTGGATGACGAAGGTGTCACTACAAGAGAACCCACGTATAGCGACTAATTGTTGAGGCAAATATTGTATTTGCCGCTAAAATGATATTATAAGCAACACATATAAAATTTGCCTCAATAGGCACCATTATGTGCCTCTAAAAGTATTACATATGTAACACATATAATTTTCCTCAATAGGCACAATTATGTGCCTCTAAAAGTATTTAGATATACTACACATACATAATTTGCCTCTATAGCAATTAAGTTTTGAAACTCTAAAAGCTTTATAACGACTAATAATTCCTTTGCCGCAATAAGTATTTTATATTTGTCGCTATAACTATTTCATTTTTTCCCGTTTTGGACTGGCGGGCTTAGTTCCCACTTCCCACTATCCCACTCCCATTTCAAATTTTTTCATTTTCATCTCCCACCCCCAGACGGCCAGACCTCATCCCTAAAAAGCCCCAATTAGGGGGAGAGAGTCATTGCAAAACAGCCATACGGCCATACCCCAAATCAATCTATCATTCATCCCCCAAACCCTTCTCACCGTTAGTCATTGCTAGCCCAAACCCTAGATTTCTCCCACCGCCCTCCCAACCATTCTGTACAATCCGGCCGAGAGTCTCTTCCTCCAGGCGCAAGAACCAAAAGGCCGCATCTTCTTCCTGCCGGCGACCTCTGCATCAATCGCTGGCCAGCTCTGTAAGTCTTATGTTCTGCTCTGCCTCTCACGCTGCTACCTCTTCCTAATCCCCCCCGCCATCAATCCATTCTAGAAGAGGAATCAAACTTTGAAATCTCCTACGATGAGCATAACGACAACAGCGGAGAAGTATTGCACCCATTCCTTTCCCTCGACTTTCACCCAATCTCCTGTCTCCTGTCCAGCGCTGGCGCCTATTGACGGTATTGATTTCTTTTACCAGTTCATTGAAAGGGACTTAGCTTATAGCCTTATAGCAAGAAAATCACACATATAAAGTATTCTTATTCCTGGTTTGATGGGTTATTTGTGGTTGGCTGGTTCAACTATTGCATTAGCTTGTTTTTATTGTTTGGTTTCTCCATTGTTAGTCCTGGAGCTTGTTCCATTTTTCTCATCTGGTTTGGATTTGTGGCAGTGGCCGTTTGAAGATGTGATTCGGTGGTGCTGTTGTCGGCTTTGTCACCTGGAGAAGCAGTTTGTAAAGGGATCAACGATGGTAACATGATGTCTCTCCTGAGAGCTTAGAGTAATGGTGAGTGATGTTAAGTTTGAGTAGCTTAGGAAGCTTGGCTAGTTGTATTTATATTATGTTTTTTGCATTCAATTTGAAGGAACTAAGTTGATTGCTTGGAAATGTTTTATGTTTGCTACTGTAATTTTTTCAAAGTCACTGCTGCAATTCGTTGAGCAAGCTTGTAGCTTAGCAAACTTGGCTAGTTGATTGCAGGCCAGGTTGTCTCATAGTGTTGTGTGATTGTGTCTCACTAGTTCTGTTTTTCCTTGCCATACTCTTTTTCTTTGGTTTCTCTGTTTCAGGTCATACTGCTTGAAGTGCTTTGTGGAGGTTGCAATCTCAGGGTGTCCTACCAGATTGTGCAGCTCTATTTCTACTAACCCATAGCAAGTATGTGAATTATATCCTCTTTCCCTAACTCTGTTTATGTATGGAAATTTGCTATTTTGAAATTTGGTTGCTGCGTGCTTTGTTTTTGGACTGAATAGGGGGAGCATGTTATTTCAAGTTTATGATTTGCCCCCTGCTCGATCAGGCTTATGTAAATTGCTCTGATTCAAGCTGCTGTAATTCAAGCTTATGTAGACTGTTATGTTTATATTAAAGTTCTTATATGAATGAGTCATGAGTTGCATCGATTTCTTTTCTTTTTTACAACTTTATGAACTAGTTTGCATGCTTGTGCTAAATGTTTTATGCTCAATAATCATTATAATCATAGTTTAACAGTGAGTTAGTTTGCCCATATGTTTTTTGACTATCGGAGCTGCTACTGTAATGAAATTTGGTCCATCAAGCACCACCTTGTGAATGAATGAATAGACCATGGAATTTGTCAATTCTTAACACAATGAACCTGCAGAATTACAGATTGTAATGAACTTAAAAGTTCGTTCGTTTGTTGTCTTGAATGGAGTTTTCAAAATATGAGTAAGCTGACTTTTTGTTTGTAATTTGCAGCTACACCATTATCCTTGCAACTATAACAACGTATGGTGGGAGGTTTGGAAACTTTGGCAGATTGTAATTTACGAGCTATTTGCCACATGAATTAGCTTACATCATTCTTGTAGCAGTAAAGTAGGATTTTATATTCAAGCAGGTGTTGTAGTGAAATGCCAATACAGAAATATATATTATTCCATTGTGATTGATAATAGTTTGTCAGAAACTAGCTTGTATACAAGGAAACTCAGGTATATATATATATATTAAAAATCCTTGGTCGAAGTTGTTTATTGTAACATAACGATGGAATTCCATGTCCCTCAGCTCGTCATTGATATATAGATTGGTGTTATTGTTATCAATGACGACAATAATTCGTTGTTAAAAGTATTAAGAATGGACCTTTGTCCTTTGTTAACAATTATCAACGACGGAATTTGGCTCGTAAACAATGGATTTCCCCGTCGTTAATGACTGTTTTTCTTGTAGTGTGTATTCGCCTCAATAGGTTAATTTCACAAGCAAATCTATCTACCTCTAAAGATAATATTAGAGGCAAATATTTATGTCTCTAATCTAGAATACAAAGGCAAAATAAAAGTGACATTAGCCGCTAAAATATTAGCTGCAAAATCTCTAATCAGCAACAGATAATATATGTCGCTATATTTGCCTCTGTAGGGCTATAGCCACTGGAGTATTTGAGGCAAATGTTTTATTTGCCTCTAAATATATATAGAGGCAAATAATGGACATATAGAGGCAAATTTTCATAGTCGCTATATAAGGATTTTCTTGTAGTGTGTAAGAGTTCCAATTTGGGAAGAGTCCCAATTTTCCTATGAGCTGGGTTTCAATTTGGGAAGAAGCACAATTGGGGATTTTGACGCTAAGTACGCAGCCGTGGTTGGAATCATTTGCGGCGACGAAGGTTTCGAGCAACAGTTCGTAGGCGGCGAGAATCAAGGATCTTTGGAGCTGGATGCGAGTATTATTGTCCAAGTTGGGTTTTGATTTGGGACTGCATGCAGAGCTTGGGGCAGATTGACGAATTGAGAAGAGAAGAGAAGGCGCCCTTTTTGTTTGGCGGCAGGGGCAGATTGACGAATTTGGATTTGGCCTCCGTCTATAGTAAGCATCCCAATTGATTTTTTTTTTGTATTTATATGTCAATTAAGTGGCTTTGGACACGTCTTTAACAATAACAGAGAGGCTAAATTCTCGCTGGTAGGAAGCTTTGGATTCGTGGGTTCTGATTTTCCTTTTTCTAGGCTTAATTGAACAAGAACGGAGAAGTGGAGGATGAGAAGAATTCGATGCAAGGGAGGATGGGAAGTGGTTTCTGGTGGTTTCGTTGTTCTGATGGTTTCGTTGTTCTGATGGTTTGCTATGAATGAACGGGGGCAGGGTACATTTCTGGGAATGAATGAAAGCTATGGGAGAGTAGATGTGCCCTCAATTGAGGGCAATATTGTTATTTAGCATCTTTTATCATCAAATACCACATGCAAATATTGGTTTAGCCAAACAAGATTATTTATCCCAACTTTCTTAAAAATATCACACAAATACCAAATCAACAACAAATGAGTTATTTCATCTTACAAATACCACAAAACCAAACAATTCATCCAAACGACCCCTATAGCTATTACTAGCATTCCAACCCTACAAAAATTGGAAATTTCACAATAGGGAAGACTAAACGCCAAACCCTCATGTGTTGTTTTTTTAATATAGTTTAGAGTAGATTTTATCATTTTATTTACATTATTTGTAAATAATTATTATAAAAATAGTCATAATTAATTAAGATGAACATTTCGATATAACTTTTAAAAAACTTTACCGTATTTTTTTTTTGTCATTAACGTGACATTATCAATACCGAACACACAATAATCAATTAATTTATTAGCAAGGTAGCTATTACTTAATAGCAATGTTGTCAGAACCGAACCGGAGTACGACCCGGAAACATGAACGACTCGGTCTTTAGTGGTCCAGCCGGCATTAGACCGTTTAAAAACCGTTTGAGAACCGGTACCTAATAAACAGTCAACTGTATATTAACTATTCCCAACAATTCCATCACCAATTTGCTAACTATTCCAACAAGTTCACAATCAGATTACATCCACCACGAGAACAAGTTCACAATCAATTCAAGCAAAAGTCCCAAATGTCCAGCTTATACTAAACCTAGCTCGATTTACGAAGGAAAGGGGAATTCGTGTGGTTTCTAGCGGATGAAAGGGGAATTCGGAGCAGAGGCTGATGGAATTCGGACCAGGGGAATTCGTGTGGTTTCTAGCGCTGAAATCGAGAGTGAATCCGGCGGAGAATCCGCCGCCTGTGGCGGAGCTGTACGGCAAAGAGCACGCCGCGTCAACTCAGCTGCTGTACGAGCTCTCCCCGTGTTTCAAGCTCGGGTTCATGGCGGCGAATCTCGCGATTCTCGAATCCACTCTGGAGGAGGTAGAAGAAGAAGAACAGGGGAATAATACATCGATGAAGAAGAAGAAGAAGAGTTGTTGGTTTCCACGTCGTGGATTTCGAATGCCTACCACGAGAAGCTGATGCGACGGCGATGGCGACGACGCTGGGGAAGATGGCGCCGGCGCTGGAGAAGATGGCGATGGCGACGGCGCTTCTTGTCTCCAGGGCAGGCTCTCCACGAAGAAGAAGACTCTCCACGAAGAAGAAGATTGGGAAAGAAATTTGGGAATTAGGGTTCTGCCCGACCCCGACCCAGAATCCCCTTTAATTTTTCGGCTTTTAGTTTTTTTTTATTTTTTAATTACACCAACCGGCCGGATGTAAAAAACCGGACGACCGGTTCGAGCGGCTCGAGCGTTTAACCGCTCCGGCCGCTCGCCGGCCGCCCCAGAGAACCAGTCCGGCTAAATAGCTGATCCGAGCCGGTTTTGAGTCCGGTTGGCGGTTTTGGCGGCCCGGCCGGCCGGCTCGGCTCGGTTTTCACAGCACTGCTTAATAGATTCACTCATATAGCATTTTGAATGACCTAATAACTTGTAAAAAAGTATGCAATAAGAGTTTTGTACATGTCCTTTTACCCATATATATATTCTGTCTCCGACCTGACACCAATATATACAACAAACATGCAAAGATTCGTTACGGCGGTACAACTTGTCTTCTATACTATCCTATGTTTATGGATCGCGTCACGTTCAATATGTAACCGTCCGTGCAATTATTATACACAGAATAGGGTCACTGGTTTTTGGTATCTACCGTTCCTTTGAACCGTGGTGGCAAAGAACTAGAATCGCTTTATACAATGCATTCACTTTACTGAAACCGTTCACGTTTGGTCACTCTCCGTCCAACTCCGTCAACTTTTGTTTATGTGGCAGTCAACTCTAAAAGTTGACCGTTAAATGTGTGATGTGGCAATTTAAAAATAATAAAAATAATAATTTTTTTTAAACGATGAAGAGAAAATGACGCTATTTGAAAGCGCCTGGCGATGGAAGACAAGCAGGGCAACCTCAAAATTTTGTACTACAACCACTTGAGCTTGTGGTCATACAACTATATATATTCTTGCTAATTGGTAGCTCTTTCTTGAAGTAATTGCATTCTATCAGCACATTTAAGTTAAATAGTTTGATGCAATAAGATGATGACAAGTGCACGATGTATAGTCTTAGAAGAATGTCGATAAAGTTGCCGGGAGCATTCGTCCGCAAACAAAGCTCCTCTTCCTGCCTTTGCTTGCATTTTTGTGAAAGTCAAATAAAACAAAACAAGAACTGAATGTTGCTCTGCAATATGACGGGCCTACCTCAATTCAATCAGTAAGTACTGTCATGCATGCACCGAATACTACATTATGTAATTTCGATTCTTTTTAAATACTTAGTGCGAAAACTTACAGTCCAATATATAGGCTTCCGCATGGTTTTATTGCTAATCTGCAATACGATGATGCTCTTGAAATTTGTGAGGGTGCCGACACCATCGATCTCATTATGTTCCAAGTGGATGTCGCAAATCAGGTAACAAAACAACTAAATTTCTTTTTAATCGTACGCCTTTTGTGACATCCTCCATTTTCTCGATTTGCTTTGACCATATTCCTTTTTGTGTTTACATCAGGGCAACTCTTTTCTGTTATCCGGACGTGTTACAGATTTGACAACGTCTTGGTCCCCTGCAGCCAGAATCCATTTCGTCCACCTCACAATTGAGGACGATTTCATCGGTGTTGACATCGTCTTCCCGTCATCACAATTACGAACGATTGTTGGGTCTGTATTCAGTCATGCAACTGTTGTCAATGCTGACTATATGACCCTTTTGAACATGCTTGGAGGACAGACATTTGAAATCATGGTCACAATCGGTCCCTGGAACAATGCTTTGGGTTATTGTGAACTTGTGTTGGTGAAATTATTTTTGCCTTTGTTTAATTGAGCATCATGTCATGAACAATGAGACAATGTCTTGAGTTTGGATACTTTGGACCTGCATGTTAGTTGCCGTAATACACAACTAGATGAGATGTCTTATTAGTCAAATTTCATGTAAGTATTTTTTCTTTATTAGCTAATCTTCAAATGTATCCTCCTCATCCTTACAAGATTTATGTGAATGGTATGATTTTTCATTTCATTAATTAATACCTTTATTTTGAACTTATTGTGAATGGTTTTTCACATTACATGTTCGTTTTCACCGAAGTGCAAATTTGTAATAATCTTATGATAATATATAACAAAACGCATGAACATTATAGATATTGTTACGCCTTTTTCCTTAAACAATTACGGCCAACGGGCCGGGCTAAAGGCTAGTTTTTGTGAAAGTCAAATAAAACAAAACAAGAACTGAATGTTGCTCTGCTTCCTATCTAAAGAACGCCTAATTACTTATGTTATTACTACACTCACTTGGACTCAATGATACCTGCAGATATACAAGAAAAGGCGAAGGCATCTTAAAGTAAATAGTACTAGTCTACACTACAACATGTTATCCTTAAACTTCAACACATCTTTCGCGTCTAGTCCGTACATCTCGCAAACACTACTGATTGCAGCTTCGCTAACATCATCATCGTCTTCCTGCTGCCTGATGATGATCTCCTCAAGTTCCTTTGATGGCTGCAACACCTGCGATTATTCACCAGAACACAAGGCTTCATAGGTACGCCAGCCAATAAATAAACAACAACCATGACATGACAACTACACCATATATTGAATATTTATCAGCGATGCAATGTAACATCAGCCTGCTGGACAATAGGGTGACTTTTTTCCTACTGCAACAACCCCCGCCAACTTTATTACGTACCCAAAACCAGTACCAAGTAGCAATAATATCTGTGGCTTTCAAGAGGTCTCTACCCAAATAGCTTACAGCTAAGAGAGATCCAGGGATGCCAACATTCTAAAATCATTCTGCACTGCCCAATGAGAGCCACCACAATCCTAACTTGTGAGGTGTCAAGCCATTTCAGAATTACTCGTTCGGGAACACGATCCATCTTTTCAGTACCGACTCAGCTGACAAACTAAAATGAATCCCAAATATTAGGTAAAGACACTCAAGTATACAGACATCATATGCTCGAAACATTGCTCGTCCTCAAGCTAACCAAAACACAAGTGACTAGACTGAATCACCACTTGGTTAGCACAAGATGCTCTTTAATGTAAACCGTGCACGTCAAAATAATTATGACATGTTAAAATTAAGCAAAACTAAGGTTATTCATAATCCAAACAGAGGAAACTCGATCGCAATCAGCTTGCAGCCAAAATAATATAGAGGCCAGTAGAATTCGTTGCCAAAATTATATTCTGACTCACCCACGGAGAACCTTGCGAACAAGGGGATTTGTCCTTGGAGCTGTCATTGCCCTTCTCAGTTTGACCTTGTCCACCATTTTGAACCGCACATTTTTCAGACCATGAGCTATCGGACACCAGCTTAAGGAGTGTCTCACTTCCCTATTTATTTTTTAGAAAATACAAGAAAAGATGAGAATTACAAACGAAACGACTCCTAAACAATTTTTGTCCAAATTAACCACAGAGTACAAGTCCCATCTATAAGCAGGCTACTTATACATGCATGGAATAATCCTCGCTTCAAATATTTGTAATTCATCCTAAGAGAATATAGTAATAGTTAACAGACCTGCAGAGCTCGCCAATGGGAATAAGTTCGGAATAAGACCCAAAAGAATGGGATATTGGGCAGAGGTAAAACCTGCATTACATAGAAGAAAATGATAAATCAATAATTCCACAATTAACAACAGCTAAATTGCAGTGCATAACAGGAACATCTGAACTGCACTATGTACTGAAACCACACTATAATCACATACGTACACTCAACGCAGAGGTCATTGGAAGTAATGTTATTGAACCATAGAAGTATTTCTTGTGGATTGAAGCTCCCCTGAAAATCAGACAGCATTAGAGCCATCAAAGACCAGACTCCCACTTCTTGGGGGCACGCAATTTTGCAGTCATAAATAATCTTAAACCAGATTATAAAACACCAAAAAGGAAAATCCTCGTCAAAGATGATTTACTGTGCAACTATAGACAAAGCAAATAAATAAATGAAAAGAGTACAAAACAGAAGCAAATAACCAAAATCTCCCAATTCTTCTCAGACATACTACTGAACTGGACTAGTACCTGATGATTGAAATACAAAATTTAGTGACATAGAACAGCAGATTAGCCTCATAGCAAGAGAATCTACTGGTAAGAGAATAACGAATTGAGTGCACATGTGCACATTTGATTGATTGCAAATTTAGTGACATAAAACGGGCAGGTTTATCCCCCCCACAACAAGCATAATGGATTAAGTGCACATTTTATACCAAACATGAAAATGTAAAGCAGACGTGATGCTTATTTCATTTAATCTGGTAAGATAATGGTGACCTGACCACTCAACAGTAAAAGGAGGATACAAATCTTGAAAGAATACACGATGGAGGATTCAGAGGCTGCAATTATAATGGGAGAACAGGAAAATCAAAAAAATTTAGAGTACAAGAAACTCACCTAACTGCAATATGGCGCAACCTTCGTCGCACAAACCGTGCATTTAAACTGCAATAAATGAAATAAAAGATTCAAACATAACAAATGAGATGGGTACATTACAACTGATGGTGTCTCATGCAGTTCTATTGTACTTCTGGCATCTACATCTTTTTTATAGTAATGAACGATGCATACAGCTTATAATAAATTTTTTTTGTAAAGAGCAAAGCTGATAAGTCTTGGTTTGACGGTGAGCTGGAATGTCATAAAAAAGACATCAGGATTTTGAGAATTTTGAATAAACAAAAGGAAAGAAGATCGAGCAATAGCTGGATGCACTGTCTTAAAATCAAGAGAAGCTTTCCCGCACTCAATAGTGTGGAGAGTTCAGTCAGTGCGACTGAAAGAGTCGATACAGATATATCAATTGAAAAGTAAACAATCCCTTCTGACTACATCTACCAACAGAAGCACAATTAAGTCTTCAAAATTCTAGTCAGTTTAGCATGTTCATTGCAAATATCACTGAGCTTCAAAATAACCAGTTCAATAGATTATTCAAATGAAGGATCTTTGCTGGACATTTCAATCTCAACTAAAATATGTGTAGAACAGGAGTACTTCCTACTGGTGAAAGAGACTTTATCATCTTAAATGCCAACTCATACAAAGTTCGAAGCCAAAAGCTTATATAGACCCACCTTGCCTCAACAGGTATATAGCAGTCCCCAACAAAACCAGAACTCTCATCCCATACTCTGTAGTCAAAGAGGCTAAGAAATCCCATCCCATTGGTGCTAAAAAAAATCCAACTTTCCCAGAGAGTTTATCATCTTAAGGGCTACACTAAAATGCTCAGATGAACCACAAAGCGTTTCCATTGTGTTATGGTAACAGACAATCTAGAGCTAGTGCTCTTATGAGTACTCCTTATTCTGAAACTCAAGCATTTCTAACAAAGCTAGCAGCATTAACAGACAGCGAAGGACGAAACCATAAGTTTACTTCTAATGATCAATTTGACAGAATCATTACTATAACGTGCCAATAAACAACCATTGGGTTGGAAAAGGGAACAAGCTAAGGAAGAAGAAGAAGAACAAGAAATAGAGTAGAGTACCTGACGGGGTATACTATTTCAACGCCGGTGACGTCCCTGGATATGGACTTCAAGAAAATCTCTGAAGGCTTAACCCGTGCCAGTAGCTTCAAACCTACCCTACTCACGCGCAGAAACAAATGATACGAAAATGAAACCTGTTTTCCACACAAGTAATGGGAGAGTAAAACAACAATAGACAGACAAGCGCGAATAATTGGTACCCATGAATCTTCTTCTTGAGAGTGCCATCGGGCGATTTCTCCATACCAATCCAAGCTCCGTTCATCTTGTTGGCGATGAAATCGACAATGAGCTGGGCATTGCGAGGAGCGGAGGAGCCGGACGAAGAGATGCTGCGCCAGAGATCCCGAAACGTAGAAGGGGAGCCGGATGAAGAGGAATGTTGATTAAGGGAAGGGTCGAGAGATCTGGAGAAGCACCAGTTCCTTCCACGAAGCGGGAACACAACCAATCTGGCTTTCATGGCGCTTCAGAAATGGCGTCAACAGAAGAAAGCGGGAGGCAGGAAGGAAGGAAAGAAAGATGCAATGCAAGATTGGTGAAGATAGAATGGAGAAATTTAGGGCGCGAACGTTCCCTGGACGCGGGACTCAGCGAAGCCGATCGGGTTCCTTTCCTTTCTTTTCCCTTCCTCTGCTTCTGCTTCTCTTCGATCAAAAGCATAAAGCTCGTCGACAAAATTTCTAAACCCTATGCTCTATTTTCTAACAGGAAATAGATGAAGAAATGCACTCCCTCTCAGGGTTTTTATTTTATTTTATTTTATTTTATTTTATGGTGGTGGACTGGTGGTCTCCTCGTCAGGTTTGGGAATGCTAAATGTGGGTGTACTTTCCATTGCTGGAAATTTGTGACCGTGATATTAGTCACGGGCCATTCGTAACAATTAACATCACAATTATTTTTTGTCAAAAAAAAAAAAAACATCACAATTATTTTCAGGTGCATCATGATGATTTTTTTAGAGATAAGTTAACATATTTTCTGGATATTTAATTTCAGAATTTTCATAGGAAACTAGGAAAGGAACCCCCGCATTTAATTTTTTTTTAAAGAATTTTATGGTATAGTTTTTCGATTTAAAATTTATTTAAAGTGTTACATAAGGAAATTTAACGTCCTTGAGGTTTGCATACACCTCACTCACCAACCTGCAAAACAAACATCTGCTGAACCACAGAATCCGTCATTCAATCTCTAGTTTAGGATGTGGTGGTGGTTGTTACGAATCGATTCAAGTCAATTCTGGGCAATAAGAACATGCAATTTCCCTCCAATCAATTCCACTAACAACTCTTCTTTCTTTCGAACTACATGCAATCAACCAACAAATAACAAGCTAGTAATCATTTGTGCCATTCATTCCCACGTTTGTTTATTTCTGGACTTTCTATTTTCCATATCAATCGACCCAACGAATGTCTTTCTCATGTTATGCACCAAGCCAAGAAGTCTAGCTCCGGAGCCTTCATCAGCTACAGGCATTTAGTTAGTACATCAGGGAGACCGGTGCGATTCCGATTCCCTGAACAAGGCTGGATGCTGGCAGCCACTGATGTATATGTATTTCTTCAACTTCTAAACCAACAAACAAACTAAAAAAACACTTTTTCACCCTTTCCTATCTGCACAGACGAGCCGAGCCGATAAACAAGCCACTTCTATATGCATAATACTAGTTAAACGACTAAAGATACAAACCGCTGCTTGCTTACAAGTATCTTCAGGAATGGATGAATGAAGGTTGGAGCTGCTCAGTTGCTTGCCAGCTATCTCAGGCACAAGAATTGGGCTCAGCAGGGATCTCCACGGCATAAAACATGGATAAAAGGAATCCATCGTTCGTTGTTCCCCAGCTGCTGCTCCCCTCCATTCCAACCAACTGCAGCCATAGATGCAAGCAAAGGAATCCATCTCCCCTAATCCCCAAACCTCAAGTCTTCTTTCTTTTTCTTCTTCATTTCATTCATCTTCTGCTTTGAAGTCTGGGAGCTCACCCTGGCACAGGTATTCATCACATGATGATGCTGAGTCCCAGTCCTTGCGAAGCCTTAGAATATCTTCCGTGAAAGTAGATCCTGCTGCTCCAATAAACACGCTCGACATGGCACATATGCTCTTATCCAGCATAGCTTCCACCTATCCAGACCAGCACATAAAAACAAAAACAAATAGATAAGATACCATAGTAGTGAGAACGAGAACTGATGGATCTAGATACACACTTCACTAAGAAATCAACACAAGTAACAGAAATTAAACAGTACTGCACAAATGCCTTAGCTCATTTCAATATGCTGGATTCTAACTAGTTCATCTATTATTCAACATGCATCAGAGAGGCTAGCATATCAGAACAATTCAGAAGCTTAACCACAGTTCTTCATTAAAAGAATGCTTTACAGCTCCAGAAAAAGTAAATTTTACAAAAAAGATTCAATGAAAGCTAACTCCACCCATTGGATATAACAAGTGATGAGATGCTACATACAGATTAACTTAGAACAATAATGCCCCTATAAAGCAAGCTAACAAAGGGTTGTCGGAGAAAATTGTTGGACCTTATGCAGGTACACTTAAAACATGAGAGAGAGATTGTCTCCTAGTTTTTCACATACATACATGAGAGTCGAGAGAGCCTGTCCAGTTTTCTCAATTAAGAGCTTGAAATCTAACATTCTGTTTTTTGCACTCATAAGCAAGGGACTTTCCTCAAACCACTTGGTGCATCCTCAAAGTACGAATAATCAGCTAAGGACTTCGTTTGTATCCACATACAGACATAGTAACCACTTATAGAACATCCAATAGCCAACTTCTCCAACCAAATACATACATGCCAGCCTCTAACTTCTAGTATCAAAACTAACTTTTAAATTTATGTTAACTGACCTTTTCTACGTTTAAAATTTAAGAAACTGGTATATTTTTTCAATCTCTCCGACCATATCCACCTGTTTCTTACATTCAGACAACAAATGCAGCCTAAATAGCTCCACAAAGTGAACTTCACAATAACAGGCATGTAGGATAAGTAAACAATACCCAGCGGAGCAGAACTAACTTAAGAAAGAAACAAAGAGCAAGAACAACCAAAACAATGGAAGCATAGGAAGGACATAAAAGGTTCCCACCTGTGGATCATCCTCGAGGTGATGTCTATATAACAAAGCATCCCACTTTTCAGCTGAATTAGGAGGAGGTCGCTTAACTAATGGTATGGTCTTCCCATTCACAACCAGTAGTGATTGCAACAAGTTAGTTTCACTTTCTGCCGCATCAGTTGAAAGATAGATAACTGGTGCATTTGCTCTTTCAATCAAGCGAGCGATGCAGCTGGCAGCTTGAGGAATCGGGTAAAAGCAACTCGGCTTTTTAGCATTACTGTAAAATTATTCAAGAACAGTAAGTTAGACTAGGCTGTCTTCCAGTCCCAGTACCACAGATAAAAGCACACTAGCAAATGCATTCATAGTCCATGAAAGGGATATTAAATCTCTGTGCACCAAAGCTACCAACCTAGTATGCATGATCTAAGTTACGTGGAAGTTGGAACAAAAAGATCTCTAGTCTAAAGACCAGGATCAGTTTTTGTTAGTGACTTGATTCAACTAAGCAATTATTTTCAGCCATATGTTTAGGGAAAGCAAAAGCTTCAAAAACTCGAGGCATTGCTAAAAAAGATTGACTTGCTGCGGACCTCATTTGTCACAACCCTGCACCACCTGATGCATGTTGCATATGTTAACAATGATACAAACTACTCTTTTAGTCATATGGCTTAACTTGACTATAGTATATTGACATTCCCTGGTGGAGATAGTGTAGAGACCAAGGTTATGGTAACTGAACGTGAGACAGAATAAAAATCATCATTATGTATGAAGAGACACTTGGCAAAAAGAAGACATCCTTTTGTGACTTAATAACCATGTAATGTGGCAGGGGATGTAAGCTTACCAAAACTTCAAAAAGCCATGCCGCCGGAAATGGAGAGCAATGAAGTTCTTCCCCAAGAATGTCTGGATGAAACGCTGGGCTGTGAGCGTGATAAGTCTACTGGGTTCGATCAAGGTCTTGCATTTGTGAGCAAGAGGGCCACCGGGCTGCATCAGCCATTCAGTCTCGACATCCGCGTAGAAGACATCTCCAATGGCAATAACATCGTCGTTAGACGAGAACTTGGCCACAACTTCCTGAGCAGTCCTTTTACTAGGCTTCTTGATATCCTCTTTCCAAGGAGACTCTAGCTTACTCCCAATAGAGATCCCCAAGGCCTTCAACTTCTTGACATGTTCCTCGTCGACGTAACAGGGCGTGGGGGATGAGAAGTAACATATGAACTTATCAATTCGCAGGCGATTCTTCCTCATCTCCTCGAATTCTTCGAAGTTGAGCACAAGCTTGCTTCCCAGACAAGTATTAATGTGGTCGATATCCAACACCCTGCTGTAGTGATAATCGAATCGAGAGCTTGGGAAGACCAAGACCCGATTGAGCAGAGCAGCGAAGAACATGTGCTTCTCCAAGCAAATCAAGTGGTTACTCATCTGCCCAGACAAACAAACAGCAAACAAGAACTTATCGGGTCGGGGCTTCCAATCCATGGTTTTCCGGCCGGGCAGGCGGCGGTGGATGCTCTGGCAGGTGGAGAAGAGACCAGGAGCCGTGGCAGATGGATCGGAATCTGAAGACAAGGCAGTGCTGTTGTTCGGGGAGTTGTGAGGGGACAATAGAACTTGCTCAATCTGCTTGTTGAGCGCAATCAAGGGGAGGAGGGCGGATTGGATGGAATCGAAGGTCGGGGAGGGAATAGAAGAAGAAGAATTGGAGGAGGAATGGTTCCAGAGGGAGAGGAGGGAGTTCTGCTGCTGGCGGAGGAGGTAGAGGGCGCGGAGTTCGGACTCGCGCATCCGATCGGAAAGGGGATCGAGGTTGAGGACGGGGAATTTGGAGGAGAAGAGGGTGCGGAAGTCGGTGGAGAAGTAGAGGAGGAGGATGAAGAGCGGGAGGAAGACGGCGAAGAGGTACCTTTTGAGGTTGAGATTGGAGAAGCGGCGGCGGACGCCATTGCCGAAGGTGCGGAGATCCTCGACGTGTAGAGAAGAGGAAAGGGATCGGCGGGGAGAGGATGAGGGTTGGTGGTGAGGGTTAGGGTGCTGATTTTTCCGGTCGTTCTGTTCGAGGAAGCTCTCGCGATCGTCGTCTTCGTCGGAGGAATCTCTGTTCATCGTTGCCAGTTGGGGTATCGGCGGTGAGCGGGGTTGGGTTAAGGGGTCTAATAATAATAATGCGATGGCGGGGATAAGCTGTTAAGCAAGCAAGGGAGCTGAAGCAGCGGCTGGCAGCGAGCCTGAGAGAGAGAGAGAGAGAGAGAGAGACTACGGTGGTTAGTTGGTTCTCATTCTTCAGCGGAAAGCTCCGATGCCTAACCGCAATCTCTCTCACCACCAGATTTGAGATGGCGACGGGATGGCGTACGAATTGGGATTCGTTGGATTGCGAACCGCTGCGTCGGTGGTTGGACGAGGACGAGGACGAGGGGGTGGAATTTTTTTTTTTTTTTTTGCAACCCGACTCACCCGTTCAAACCCGACCCAATCTATCAAGAGGGTGGATCAATAGAACAGTCAGATGGAAATGAGTTACGATCGCGGTTAAGTTCATTGTTCGGACGGTTATTGATGTACCAAATGTTTTTTCACAGTTTAACATAAAATCAGATAAACCACCACGATTTAACTAGTTCACTATATTAATCGCAAAAAATTTTAAAAAAATCTTTAAACCATCAAATCAGATTTGACACCAAAATATATGATTTGTTAATTGTATTTCTACTTCCTCTTCCCATTTTCCACTTCGTTGTCGACTTTACGTGGTGCACTATCAACTGACACCGTAATTTCTTTTGTGAAACAGTTTGAACTTTGAATGATTTGTTAGATATATTGATGATGATATGAATTTGAAATTGTTTATGATCAATGATAACTTTATTATTAAATTAGTGTATTATTATACTAGTGTTGTATGTTATATATCATGCATGAACGGTGTTACCAATGATTTTGTAGCGATTTATCACTAAATGTTAAACCACTAACTTTTCCGATTCCGTGTTCGGTTCGGTTATGAAAACAAAGATTACCCAGCAAGCTGTTGGTAGTTTCCCGCCTCCGACTTGCCGGTAAAAGAGTAAAGGAAAAGAAAAACTTCTCCTTTTCTTTTAGATGAAGCGACGCATAACCCACTTACATTAAACTGCAGCACCGGTGTTCTACTTCCCAGCGTCAGTGCAGCTACTAATAATATAAGTTAATAATAATATACACCAAACTGCCATCAAAGTGTGCAAATGTTTGGCACAAGGCAAAAAGGGAAAGAAGAAACACAAAGTGCTCCAGCTAACGGCAGAATTTCGTGTCTATGACTCCTACGATGCATGTCACCACCAACCAGATCAAAATTATTATAGCCAACGATATAGATTATGACGATGATGATGATGAACTCTTCCACCACTACTACTACTACTACATCCGACCTCCTGTTACCATTTCAACAAGTCTTCCGCGAACCCATCTCTTTGTTACCCCCACGTCCTCAGTCTTATGCAGCTCGACTTTCGAACCATTTGGCTGGACATTGTTTCCAGATTTGAGATTCCCGTTCAGGTCACCCTGGCAGTGGTGCTCTGGTTTCTCCACAAGGCTCGTCAAATCGAATCCCTGATGCGGGCTGCAACGCTTACCAGGGAACTCCAATTCACTCAACTTGATCAGTTTTTCATCTTCAGCACATGTTGCGGCGGTTTTGATTCCCCCATTTACCATAACTGGTGGTCTGGATTCTGCTTTGGTAGAGCTTGACAACCGACCAGCAGCATCAATTTCCTTCTCCTCATCGCTCAGTTCAGTTGTTGCAAGATCAACATCCCCTCGATCAACAGACTCAATTGACTGAATTGCTTCTGCTATAAGCTTTCTGGTCTCTATCAGAGAAGCTCGTGCAATCGGGCTTTCTGCTGCAGCAACCTCGAGAACCTTAGCAGCCTTCTCAGCTTCAGCAATTAATAACCTGCATATTATATAGTGGCTGTATGGTTAGGAAAACACACACACACATATATATATAATCGCCAATTTCAGAAGACAACTTCTGCTCAAACTAACAACTTAACAATCACCTTGCTCTTTCAACCGCTTCAGTTTTTTTAGTTTCCACGGCAGCTCTTTTTGCTCTGATATTCATTATCATCTGCAACTTGGACCTGGCCAAAGGATCCTTGTAGGATGGTGTTGTAGTGTTTCGCAGTCTTGTGACCTGTGTAGAGCTTGTGGTATCACTTCCAGAAGAATCGCTTGTTTCACTGGCTTTCTTTTTCGCACTATCCCTCTTGGTGGATGGTCTGCTGCCAACTGGCTTTCGCCTTGGCTTTCTCTCGGTTCCTGCCGGAATACCATGATATTTAGCCAGGCCGGAGCGAACTCGGTCTCGATATGACTAGACAAGAAAGAAAAAGAAACTGTAAGAAAGTGGGCAACACATGCAAAATCTGGATTCAAACAACGAAATATCCACTTGCAAGCCGTAAGTCATCTATGGATACTAATTGTCCACTAAATGAACATTCGGACGGGAAAAGATAACAAACTAACAAGAGAAACAGAAAAACAGGAGATGATTCATAAGTGCGCTTACAGGATCAGCCCATTTGGCAGCAATGGCTTCTGCAATCTTTCTTCTTTGCTCAAGGGATTTTGGTGCCCTCTTGTTGCCTTTTGTCCTAGGAGTTGCTCTTCGCTTCTCAACGCTCTCCACCCATTCAACTTCAAGCTGTTTACTCAAGATACTGTAAGAATCCCATTGCAGCTCTTCTTCATCAACACATCCCATCCTTGAAGCTGCTGCAATCAAGTTCTGCCATTCAAAATAACAAGTTTCCTGCACCATCAGCTTGTCGCGACGCTTTTCCCATCCCATTCGCACTCCTTGTCCAATTTTCACTCTTGTCTCTTGGCTGCGAGATGATTGACAATGCATACGTATTAATATGATCTAAGAAGGTAAAGGTTAACAGTTCAAGATTAGTGACTCCATCATAATCACTAACCACATAAATGTAAATCAAGGAATTTTCAACCGAGAGTGTCTCACTGTATGCAGAAGTAGGGAGCATATGATATCTTTATAAGATCAAATAAGTGGCATAAAACTCACCTCTGAGCATGCCCAAGGCTTGCAAGCTTCATTTTGATCTGCCAAACAAAAAAAAATCCTATCAGAACTGTAAGTGTAAGTGTAACTGCAACTGTATATTGTACAGAATGTTAAAATGTTTTTAGTTGTTTTCATTGTTTCCCTTGACCCTTCAAATCCACGGTCCTTCGTAGTTATCATGGATCATACCACGGCATAAGCAAGAATCAATACACATAAATAACAGGGAAACTGACGCTGAAAGGAAAAATCTACACCCTGAAGATTCCCTTGGATGGATATTGAACATGAGCCTGAGAAAGAAACCAGCACCAATTGCCAAGAGGAATACATGGCCTTGAGCCTTAGCACAGTATATAACTTCCATGAAGAGTGAGTTATCAACTGGACAAGTGTTCAGATTTTACTTATGTGTCCATGCATTAAGTTTGGGTTATCACTTATCAACTACACAAAGTCAATTAGCATGTACTTTGATGCTGTAGAAAGCCATTTTAATTTGCATTCAAATCATATGCAACATGAAATGTATAAAAAAATTCTTACATGACATCACCTTAGGATTCTGCATGGCAAGCTTTGTTCTCTCCCTGATGCGTTGAAGGGTTTCTGTGGACCAATTATTAAAGTCAATTAGGCAGCATGAATAACTTACAGAACGAAAACCTTAACTGCTTAACAGCAAAAAAACCCCATAACATGCTCTGTAATTGTAGTGACAACCTACCTGGACTGTGCTTCCTGCCCTTGTTCCAAGGTACATTGCCTTTATTTGCTTTAGAGATCCTCATTCGTCTCAGCCTCTCTCTCTCGTCCACTTCTGCATCGTCGGAGTCATCGAAAGACGTGGAAGGAGTTGAAGCGAAGTTCAGATGTGCATCACGTTGAGCTTGATTCCCATGTCCTGCTTCGCTCGGGACCAGTCTCTTTGGTTCGAGGGTTGCCGCAACTGCCTTGATGAGAAATTTATGTGGCTGATAAGCGTGGTGCACCCTTAGAGGCCGAGGTGGGAGGAAAGATTTCCAGACCGAGAGCAGCCTTGCATCATCAGCAGCAAGAGTGAATGGGCTTGAAAAGGCCTGACAACGAGGAAGGAGTCGGACCCTCGGAGTCAGAGGCGGCAGATGATTCTTCAACGAAGTCTGAGCAGAAGGAATATCTGCCCCAACACATCAGGAAAAAAAAAAATTAACTACACTATCACAGCAAACTGAATTTCTGGCAGAAACTATATGAACTACCAAGAGGACATGGAAAACTCGTAAGTAACTCCACTAGCCTGGCCTCTAAAGTTCTCTAGCAGCAACAAGCATTCAGTAGCAAGAAGTTCAATCGAAACAGAACTAAAGAAATGGAAGAGTAGGCGAGCAAGGACAAGAGAAGCACCTAATAAAGGCATTGATGAGAGCTCATTCAGACAAAGATGTAGCGCTGATAGCAGAAATTGAGCCGTCCGTCCGTCCAATTTCAACGACTGGAGCTACTACTGAAAGGCAGCATTTACACAAAACAGTTGGGACTTGGAGAGGGGAGAGATAGATTCCTTCCCAGTTCCAGAGCAGTGACCGGCGTCGATGGAGGTGAAAATGAGAGGCCGCAACTGAGATATGGACTGTGGAAGTACACCAACAATGGCACCCAGTGTTGTAGCACAGCGACAGCCGCCTCTTCTGCTTCCGGTCTCAACTCGTCTCGTTTCCGCAGACTGCCTCCGAAAAGATAACGCGAATTGGGAAAAAGCTCTCAGAAATCAAAATGAATATCCAGGAAAAAAACACAAATAAAATAGGTACATAGAATACGGAAAACCCCCAAAATTTTATGAGAGATTCAAATATAGTCCCCAAACTTTATTAATGCATCATGGAACCTCCCCAGCCTGCCTCGGCATTCCGTATTCGATTTGTGAACATGCGTAACAATACTATCCATAATTCAGCTCTACATGGGTAATGAAATTCTTCTTCAGAAGATAGCTTAGGATATTTGATTTGCGATTACGCGTTGCTTTACTTCGAATGTATCAGAAGTACTCTACTGAATACTGATTCTCGACACCTGGAGTTAGCTCGTCGAAAATACCACGTGTTCTGATCGTTGGTGGTTACATAAAGGGAATTGCAGAAGGGAGTATGAATGGAGAAAGAACCAATACACTCCCACAAGCTGGTCGAAGAGCAAATTCTGCCAACATAAAACACCAGTACTGGAATAAGTAAAGACACCAGACTGTAGATACCCACCACACAGGTCAAAATGACAAACTTCTATACACGCTATATATATATTTTTTTTCCTTTTTCCCCAGTACATAGATGAAACCTAATGACAAGCATTCAGAAGACAAGAAGATGAAAAAAAAGTCTCAGCCTAGCATTTCATGGCCTGTTTAGTTTCGGTTACCCCCTGCTTCAGTTTCTCCACTTCATTCATCGGTCTAGGGATGTGAAAGCTGAAGCAGAGGCAGTGCCATTACAACCCCAAAGATTGAAATGAGCAATAACACCACCCATGTAGGAAATGTCTGCTTTCTGTTGTTTCTTCTTGCATCCTTTGCTGGATCTACCCTTCTCCCCTCTTCTTCCAAATGGCCGTCCACTTTTTCTGGCTTAGGCCTCGAGTTCTCATCTTCTGAAATCTCAGGTCCCATATCTGAACCAGGTTGCTCATCAGGCTGCTGCTGCTGTAGGTTGTACTTCTCAACATACTCGGGAAATAACTTCCTAAATGTCGCACTGCTTGTCAGAAAAGAAGAGGTCAAACACAAACAATCATATTAATAAACTCAAATTAAAAAGAAGCTCACAATACACAGGCCTTAAATCAGCTGAGTTTCATGACTTCCATCTACAATATATTTCACAATTATTCTAAAGAAAGTGCCACCATCGCTAGAGAATTGGCATGAATGGATCCAGTAGAGTAGACCATTCAGATAATTAATAAACAGATTGTGAGAAAGGGAAGCCGAAAAGGGATAACCCTATATGTAGACCGCGTAGTAGGAAACTGAAAAGAAATTCATCCAGAAATTAAGAAAAGGAAAGGGGGGAAAGTGATGTAGAAAGATTGGCATACTTCTTGCAATTGGAAGCAAGAGAGGCCTCTGCCAGGCGTTGCTTCTCAGCGATGGTACTATTAACGCTGCCGGTCGTGGGGCTGTTGTCCATCTGCATGAGAAGGGTAAGAAGATAATAGAGCGCAGGTAGAGGAAGAGTTATAATCCCTACATCAACAGGTATTCTTCAAATTAAAAAAAAAATCACGACATTTTTTAAACTACCAAGAGCACCCAACCTCCACTTTCCCCTATTCCCGAGGATGAGAGTGCATAAGAGATTATGTAAAATATAATGCATGTTATTCACTGATAAATTGAAGACTCCCAGAGTAAAAGCGTGCATTGCTACAACCAGTCCTAGAAGTATGCAAGATCAAATTTGAATGCTGAAACCAATTGGAAGATCCAAAGAGCAAAGTGCACTCACCATGAAAGAAAGCAGCCCTGTAAGTATGCTGCACCAGTACATGAAAAAAATGTTATACAAAGATCAATTAAGAACCACCTGTTTTCAATAATTGCAAGAGGCTACACCCTGGGAGCTAAAGAAATACAATAATAGAATGTCTGCAACCAATAAAGAGCAGACATCAACCCAATCAGTTTTACCTTGATACAGACCACATCGGATTCCAACTTTCTGGATGAACTGAACAGGAGAACATGAAGGATACACGCAAAGTTACTACATAGTATGAAATTTACTTCCGATTGAAAAATGATTGGTAACTTACAGTCACTCATTGACAGGCAGATTTTCTTCTGAGTCATGAATCGTCCATTCGGAGTGATCATACTACCAATAGCAGTTAAAAAGGATGATATAAGTTAAAGAAGCTCATCATTGGAAAAAAGAAACATAAAATTACATTTACTATGGAATACATTCATTGACGAGGAAGAATGAGCATTACGTAATTCCAGGAGGTTTATATGGATATTCAGGAGGAAACTTGATCTTTCCATAGTAATATCCACCTGAACAAAATTTACAAAGTCCATCTAAAACAGTTAAATACCATGAATGGAAACTGGAAAAAAGTCCAAGACAAAGTGATTTCCAGCAGCAAAACCAGTATTCCCTCTCAAGTAGCACATTGATGACAAGTTGCATACCTGCAAAAGGAGTTCCTTCACTTCCCTCCAATACATAATCTAGAATATCACAACAGAGGAAAACAAGCAGCAATCAGATCTAAGCATAACACCCCAAAAGGATTGACCAGACAAAACCACATGACAAGGAAGAGCAAAAGAGACAAAATGAACAAAACAACAAATGTTGATGGTCGCATTATTTTATGTATGCATAAAGTACAGGCTCCTTTATGTTTTCATTCCAAGCATCAACATACAGCATGGATCTCTGTCCACAGAAAAATCAAAGATAGGCAGGGCAGCATTGACATGCTGGACCGGAACAAGAAGAAAAGCAGGTGGTATTTCACTTTTATGCTTGTGTGCAGAAGATAGTAAGGAACAGTTACTTACGCCATTCAAGAATGTTGTTTGGGGAAGGACGAGCAACCACGTTGGAGACTGGTTCCTGAAAGTTCATCAGGGAACAAATTAAGTCAAGGAACTAGTGCCCAGGTTTCCACCAAAATAGTGAAGCTACTGCCACACAGTTAAGGAACGTACAAAACTGCCAGAAGGACGATTGCAAAACTTTATACGTAAACCCTGCAACTTTATTGCCTCTACCACATTGGACCTCTTATTCAGTTCGACATACAAAAGGCGAACTTCAGGAAGACGAAAACTTCACAAGGACGTTCGCTTCCCAAAAAGGCAGTTTTCAAAAAGTGAGGTGCGTAATGAGGAAGAGGGGCATGGAGAATATACTTACCTTGCAGAGTGCCCTGTATTCCTTCTGAAGCCGCTTGACGCAAGCTTTCTCCGCCATTCGAATGACTGAACGAGTTAGTAAGAGTAGCAATTCCGATGAGCTCAGGAACCTAGTCCTGATGATGAAAAAGTAGAGGTAGTTGCGATACAAGTAGTTAATTTCATGTAAATGGGAGGAGAATCATAAACCGCGTGTGAGTGATGAAAATGAAACCATAAAATTCCTATGAAAGCAAGAGAGATTCCAATGGAGCTCCGCAACAGGGATTGGAAAGTTACGGATTGACCCTAGAACGGAAATGGATCTGACAGAGGGAATGGGAATCGGAGTCGTGAAACACGAAGGAAGGAACGAACGAACAAGAGTTTCAGGAAACCCTAAATTACTAATCAGACGGATGCATAAATAAATACCTTTTCTGATCGACGTTTCAATCGCGTCTTCCTCCTTTCCTGTCGCGGTCACAAACAGACAGATGATGGCGCTTGGAAACCTCGCTTACCGGCCTATCCTCTCCCCCGCGATTCTTCTACTCCTAATCCTACAGAGATGTTTCTTCTCTTCTACCTCCAAATTTCCATTATCCGATACTTGATCCAATTCCAGAAGTTACGCGACCCGCTCCGATCACAGCCCTACGCTTTCCCCTCTCCTCCTCGTCGTCGATCGTCGTCCTCTTTCTTCTGGTGCTTTGCCAGTTGGAGGGTTTGGGTTGGGTTTTCGTCCAGTTGTTTTATTTTCTCCCTCCATGGTTTTCTTTTTGGCGGGACCAAGGCCCAATTTCTTCTTCTCTTAGTCATGGGCCGTATTAAGATAGAAAAACTAAGCAATTGGGTAATGCGCGCTGGGCCGCCTACCAATCCTCACTGTATTAATTAAAGGTTGGCCCGATTGCATCACTGATTCACTTAAGAATCTATAAATGAAAACTATATATGGTTCGGCCGGTTGGCCGGAATAACTTAATTTGATAAGTTAAAACAAGATTAATTGCACTATCTAACACTTAAGTTTATTATTTTTTACGAGACGGGATACGCTCACTTCTTCTAAGGGGTTGTGAGATTCACAACCAATGACATTTTGGATATGACAAAAAAAAAACGAATTTATTAGTTAATTTTTCTGTATTAATTATTGGGAATGAAAACCCCATATTAAATGCATGCTTTTATAAATTTAATTCAAATAATAAATATATTTCTCTCTCTTCTTATATCTCTCTTCCTTTTTAGCAACCACTCCACTCCGATCGGCTGACTTTTCGACCGATAGACTTTCTTCGGTCAAATCCTTGAATCAGACTCGCTCCGATCGCCTGCAAAAAAATACCACTCCGTCAGTGCGCTAGTGGTACACTAGCACTACCACTGGTATTACTATCAGTACAACGCTACCACTACCCTCTAACAGCTGGTAGTGGTAGCGTATGGTACCAAATGATAGTGATACTATACCACTACCAGCTACAAGATGGTAGTGGTAGTGTACTACTCCATCTGGTACCACTAGCAGAAGAAAATTACTACCATTAGAAAAAAACATATGTGAAAATTCAAAAGTCACATATATGAAAAACGAGGGGGGGGGGGAGAGGAAGAGTATAGTAGTAGAGGGACACACACCGGAAGAGGTGAGCAAAGGAAGCGACGACGGTGTCAGTGGATGGGGGTGGCGGTAGAAGAGGGTGACGAGAGAGAGATGGTAGCGACAGGGATGGAGGGAGGCGATGGAGGGCGCAGCAGGAGGTGGAGTGAGGCAGAGGAGGGTCGCGAGACGCCAATTGAGAGAGGCGGAGGGTCGTGGGATGGTGCGACAGCGGTGGAGAGAAGCGGGACAGTGTTGTGGCGACGGTAGAGAGCATGACAGGTGTGCAACAGGCCATAGTGGGTGAAGGGGGGGGGGGGGGAAGCAGTCTACGTGGGATAGGAAGGAATTAGGTTTTTTTTCATTTATATGGGGTCAATGATTGAGTGTGGTAAGTTTTTTCCATTCCAAATATACCCTACTTTTAATCTTAACCATTGATTTAAAAGAAAAGATAGGAGAGAGAACGAATCTGATGGCTACAAAATGGGTTGTGACTGATAGACCGATAATCATACATGTTTTCACCCCTATTCTGAAGTCGTTTGTGATGAGGAATCTCGTATTTTAAGCCGATTTTACGCTAGGTTGTGTGTTTATGTCATATTTCAGGTCCTGGCGTTGGAATCGAGGCGAAGGAACGAGTTCTGGATCGAAAGGAGCGAAGATTGGACAGAGGATGCTGCTGGACCAAAATACCCGGTCAAAGGAAGAAATACCCGACAGGGTATATTCTGGCCTCGACCGGGTATTTCCTCCTTCGGGCACCCGTGAGAAGCAGAAGGGGGCCCGGGCGATGGCGATAAATCCCCGGTCGGGGATTTTGGTGGTAGACCGGGTATTTTCCCCTTTAATGGAACGGTGCGTTTCACAATACCCGGTCGAACCATAAAATACCCGACCGGGTATTTTGACCGGGTATCGCGACTAGGCAGCTGCTAAAAGAGGAAGAAGGCCAATTTTCAAGGGGTTCCGAGTTTTTGAGAGAGAAACCGATACTTAGAGAGAGAAAGCGTCGAACCAGAGTTCTCAAGCGCCATAGATCGATCTTCAACACCATTGGAGCCCGTCTTGAGCTTGGAGAAGTGCGATTAAACGTCCAGAAGCAGGAATCCAACTTCACAGTATGATTTCCGTGTCTGAATCTGCTTTTGCTTCTTTCTCTATGGAGTAGTTTCCCCATTCATCTGGGTATGGGAAACCCTAGTTCTGTATGTTAGGCTTGATTGTATGAACCCAAGTATTGATTCTGTGATTGATTATTTTCGATTGAGGTTTTATGATTGAATGACTTGAATCCTGATCAAATTCCTGTTGTTTCTGCTTTAACCTAGAATGAGAATATCTGCCTAGGTTAATAGAGTATCCTTGATTGAAGGTAGGGAGTTGGTGACTTTAGTCGAGGAGCCAACTCACTATTCTGTACCGGATTTACTCCGGTAGTGGAGGTTTTGTTCTTAGGGCCTCAATCTGTCGACTCCGGTGGAGGTTAGTCGCCCGCTAGAGAGTCAGATTGAGAGGGTCTGAAGACCTTTAGTCGAGACTTCAGGCTGTTTAAGAACCTTCCGCAGTATAACTATCATAGAAATCGAACTTGGTAATTACAATCCGGCTTAACTGCAGACTAGGGGGAACCATATCCGGGTGACCTCTCTTAACCTGAATACAACCGTTTTAGTTACTTTGCTTGCTTGTTAGTTTAGAACCTCACTAAAGTTTCATTGCTAGATAATACGAATTCACTGAGTAGTCATCACATCTAGGACCCGGGTTGACATTAAAACCCAAACCCGCTATACTACGCTTTAGGAAGTGGTTACACTTGGCCATTTTCTAGAGTGACAGTAAGAGTGAGTCAAGTTTTTGGCGCCGTTGCCGGGGACGACTAGGTTGTTGAAGAAAAGTGATTTCTGTTACTCTAGCTTTTCTTTTCGCTTTGTTTGCTTTGTCCCACTTGTGCCTTCACGGGTTTGCTTGCTTGAGTGTGTGTAGGTAGTGCATGACCCGTAGCCAGTCAGGAGGGTTACTGCCGTTGGATCCAGAGCTTGAACGCACTTGCCGCCAACTTAGGAGACAGCAGCGAGCTAGACTGGTTACGGGAGAGCGCATAGACGGCCACTTAACCAGCGATTCTGAGGAAGAGTACGAGATGGAGGGCGAAGACATCCCACAACCGGGGAATGCTCGACAGGTTCCCCCGGTGAATCAGCATCCACCACCACCGCCGGGTCCCACCTTGGAGTACTACTACACTCCACGGATTGCTGACATCCACCCGGTCATCCTCTATCCACCCGTCCCAGCAAATAACTTCGAGATCAAGCCAGGCTGGATTCAGCTCATCACATCCTCTATCCAGTTCCATGGCTTGAAGGATGAGGAAGCCCGGGCACACCTTTCCCGTTTTCTGCAGCTGACGAACGGGTTCAAGCTGAATGGTGTTCCGGATGAGGCAATCCGCCTTCACCTCTTCCCCCATTCTCTGGCGGGGAATGCTAAGAGGTGGTTGGAGACCCAGCCCCCACTGTCCATCACTTCTTGGGACGATCTGGCGGATAAGTTCGTGCACAGATATTATCCGGCATCGAAGACTACTGAGATTCAGCGGGAGATCACTCACTTCCGCCAAGAGCCAGATGAGTCCCTTCGTGATGCATGGGAGCGGTACATGGGATACTTCTGGCAGTGTCCCCACCATGGCTTCAGCGATGCTTTCACAGTGGGGAACTTCTACAGTGCCATCACCCCAGACAGCCAGAGGGTGATCGAGTCTCTATGCCCAGGAGGGGATATCCTTACTAAGACTCCACCCGAGCTGAACCAGATGATCAGTACCTTGGCTGCCCGCGATCATTCCTGGGGGCAGAGCAGCAGAGGCAGGCACTCCCGGGACCGTGGTGTGCACGCCATGGAGACCAGATCCGGGCTCGAGCAGCAGGTAGCTGAGCTAGTGCAGGCATTGAAGCAGCCCAACAGTCTTATTCCGGGCAGAAGTTTGGCTACACCTCCAGTTGCTCAGTGTCAGTGGTGTGAGAGCCCGAATCACCTCGTGGAGGATTGTCAGTCTATGAGGGAGTCTTCTACTCCCCAAGAGCAGGTGGCCTTCATCGCCAATGCTCGGCGCCTCGATCCATACAGTAACACATACAGTGAGGGATGGCGCCAGCATCCCAACTTCGCCTGGAGCAACAACACCAATAAACCACCTGGTTTCCCAGCACCAGCAGGTGGTTTTCAGCAGAGGCAGCCTTTCCAGGCTAGACAGGGGCAGCCATTCCAGCAGCCTCAGCGTCAGTATGCCGAGCCAGCAGCAGCACCAGCTCCCGATAATCAGATGACCAAGCTTGAGAACATTTTGGCAGCATTCATGACCACCAGCCAGGCAAATTTCACGAGGATGGATCAGGCCATAGCTTCACTGGAGGCAGGCCAGAGGAACCAGGGTTGCATTCTGCAGGATCTCCAGCACCAGATAGGGGACTTAGCTCGCCAGAATACTACCAGGGCACCGGGGACTCTGCCTGCCACCACTGTCCCCAATCCTCGCGGCCCTCACGAGACTGCCCATGCCATTTTCACCAGGAGCGGCAGGCCTACATCAGCTGATCCTGCCCCGACCAGGCAGGAGGAACCACTACCTGCTTTAGCACTTCCAGCCGGTGATGCAGAAGTGCGGGTGGAGAAGGAAGCCCCTGCTCCCAAGCCACAACCAGTGGTGAAGGAGCATGTACCTCAGCTTCCCTTCCCCACTCGCCTCCATAAAGATAAGCTGGAGACTGAGTTTGCCAAGTTCATGGCAATGTTGAAGCAGCTCAACATCAGCGTACCATTTGTGGAGGCACTGTCGAAGATGCCCAAGTACGCGAAGTTCATGAAAGATCTCTGCACCAACAAGAAGAAACTTGGGGATCTTTCGACAGTGCTGCTGAGCGAGGAATGTTCTGCCATCCTGCAGAACAAGCTGCCCGAAAAGCGCAAGGATCCAGGGAGTTTTACTATCCCTCTTACTATTGGCAGCGTGCATGTAGGAAAGTCCTTGACGGACCTAGGAGCTAGCATTAATGTCATGCCATATAAATTGTTCAAAAAGCTAGACCTAGGTGAACTTAGCCCTACTAGGATGAGCATTCAGCTAGCTGATCGTTCTGTGGTGCATCCTAGGGGTATCATAGAAGATT